AAGTGCCACCCATCTGTCATCCAACCTTCACTCATACCATTCCAAGCTCAGGCCTCATCTCCTACACAACGTGTTCCGAAACCACACAAGACAATCCTGAGATTTTTCTAACGCTGTTAGGGAATATTTTATGGTACAGTACATTGTATAAAACACTCTTTGGTATTTATGTTTTCCTGAACCGAACACAACTTGTTCCAACTAGACAACAGACTCAACATCAAAGACCATGCCGACTTCTTGATTCATGCCCACTGAGTAAAGCATTTTTCAGGTAACTGGTACTCAATGTACTGATAGAATAAAATGTAATGTACAGCCGAGCTACATCCTGATGCAGAGCTGTTGTGACAGATGTTGTGACAGACGTTGCTGGTCAGCGCTGGCAGGCATCCTTAAAGGAGTAAGTGGCACGGCGCCTACGCTCTCTGGTGATACAAAAAAAAAAAAAAGGTTGCTCATGGGGTGAGAGAACTGCATTCTACTTACATCAGGCAGCAGCTATTCTCCAACTCCTGGAACAAGAGAACGACAGAAACATGCAGACTGCTTTATAGGGTAGATGTGGAAACCAATGCCCTGGAAGTATAGTACTCTGACAAAGGTCACACAGAAATTCAGTGGCAGACCCTGCACTGACACCCAGGTTTCCTGCCTCCCAATCGAGAAGCCTTTACTACATCAAACTGCTTCTCTGATCAGGTACCTGAAAATAAATTACCACAAAGGGATGTGACCAATGAAGTCTTTTTGTCTTTAACTCAAACATGCCAATCACTGGAAAAACCCAGAAATACCTTTGTCACTCACAAAAATGTCACTCAAAGGAATTAGAAGTTCAGAGAAGAAACTGGGGAAGGTAAATGCTTTTCTGGATTCCTCTTCCTCTACCCACCTTGACTGTTCCCAGGTCCTCCTTCAGCCCGTTTTTCACTCCACACCCTCCTTTGGTGTTTGCATGCACAGCCTATAGCTTCAACCAGTACTTAATAGACTGAGAATTTCCAAATTGAAATCTCTCAGTTTTTTTGTTGTTTTTTTTTTTTTAGCTCTCACCCTGTGTATTCAACTGCAATTTAGACATCTCCACCTATTTCCCCGGTCACCTTAAAAAAATAAAACTCAGCCTCATAAGGTCATCATTTCCCCTCTGCTCCAGCCAACCAGCAGCCCCGGCTTGTGGTCACCCTCTCACCTCAGTGAACAGCACCTCCTAGCCAGAAACCAGTGTCACATTGGGTTTCTTTCATTTCTCTTATCAAGTCTTTTCAATTCTCTCTCCTAAATATACTAGTTCTTGAACTCCACTCAAATCATCCTCCATATAGGGGATCTGCAAAGGTTTCTGACCACTCACCTTTATCACTAAAAAAATTCTAAGCATACATGTACCCAAAATACATGTAATTTATAAATTCAAATACGTGTACTTCTACAGCAATACAGTAAGATATCAATCATAATCAAAATTTTAAACTTTGAAGTGATGAGATCAACAAACATAATAGTAGACCTAAAATTTTCTTCCCATACTTCAGTGAGCCTTTTTACGCACCCCTGGAGATCAGGAACCTGCACTTTGAAATTATATACAATGAGACTGGTCCTACAAGAAATACATACATATATATGCTTGTGTGTATGTGTGTTTATATACATATGTATATGTACTGGAGGCAGCTTTTCTCATGCACACACACGTTTCACGAGGTGATATGCACATGTTTAAGCATATTGCTAAATATAGTTAACTCTACTTTCTAAAGTCACAAATCAAGCGGCAAGTTTAAAGTCAGTTGACCTCTAAACACTCACAGCCACTTTTAAAGCAGTAACACATGTATAAAGTATAGTTTGGATCCTTTTGTACACAGCTCCTGAAAGAGAGAAATTTTTTTTCACCTACCGACAGACATATTGGGAGGCTGCTAATATTCTGACTTTTACGGACTGTACCCCCTTTAACCTGGGTACATACCATAATATTCTTTCAGTTTTCCACAGCTATAGATACCCCTAGCATGACACTTCAGGATTCAGAAGACGAATGTACCTTTCTGTATCTTAACCTCTCTACTCCACACTTTCCACCTCTGAAAAAACAACCAGCCAAATTCTCAGAACCTAAAACCAAGTCAGAGTAAACACTGCTAATACAATACAGACACTTACATATTTACCTGGCATAATCTCTAGGATTCCACCCACAACCTAACAGATCCTAACTCTCTCGTAGAGTGAGAAAATCTGCTGAAATCTGACAGAAGTCCAAATGAATCCTTTCAGATATATGTAGCTTGTTACATACTCAGAAAGTTAAGTTCTCGGAACTTGAAAGCTCTCTGAAACTTTTACAAGATGTTTCAGCTTATCACACTAGCAGCATGGTTAAGGGCAAACCAGAGCAGCTACAGAATATTAATGAATATTTTTTTCGGACAGAACACTGTACTACTCCCTGCTGTAAGCCACAACTTACTTATCAAGAAGTCCAACAATAAAGACATTAAAATCAGTGGCAAGCACTCTTAGAAAAACTGGCACCATGTTGTTTGACCACTTTTCATTATTATAGTATGACCATTTGTCCCCAGTGTCACTCCCAGAGTTAGGAAGAACACCAATGTAGAACTACATTTTCATTCGTGATGGTAATTTGGGGCTGATTTAAATTAAATTATACTGATCAGAAAGCTAAGAAGAAAGCTGCCTAATTGTTAAAATTACTAAATGCAGTGACTTTCAGAATTGTTGATTCCATGCGTTTCATGTACAGAATGTTGAAGGTATTCAAAAATAACTTTAATACAGAACTTTACATTGTTAAGAAAATCACATAAAATTGTAGGTCTAGATCTGAAGTCAACATAGATGAGTTAAACAGTCTATTTGCTTCCTTTTTACAGAATTAAACTATTAACCACATTCTTTGTCCTTTTAGCTAGTATTCTAATAACATCTTCCACCTTCATACTCAATTTTGGGGTAAGTAAAATGGCTTTCCCCCCAAATGCCTGTAATCAAAATACCAATGTTTTTTATTTAACACTTCACCATCTTCAGTCACTTATATAATATTGATCAATGAGCCAACATTATTTAAAAATATGAGAATTACAGTGAGACTCTAAGTCCCGACCCCTCTGGGCCTTGATGTCCACAAATGAACAGGTAACTGCCAACTAAAGTTCCTTAATCATTTCTAAAAGTGGCCTATTGTATACCCTATCGTAAAGGGCATATGTGGTTTAAGAAAGATGTCTAAATTCCTCTAGAACGTTATTTTTGTAGCATCAGAACTACAATAAGAAAAATAATAATAACCTAAGGGCCAGGCTCAGGGGCTCAAGTCTGTAATCCCAACACTTTGGGAGCTCTAGGAGAGAGGACTGCTTGAGCCTAGGAGTTTGAGGCCAGCCTGGGCAGCATAGTGAAATCCTGTCTCTACAAAAAATTAAAAAATTAGCCGGGCATGGTGGCAGGCGCCTGTTGTTCCAGCTACTCAGGAGGCTGAGGTGGAAAAATAACTTAAGCACGAGAGGCTGAGGCTGCAGTGAGCTGTGATAGCTCCTCTGCACTCCAGCCTGGGCGATAGAGACCCTGTCTCAAAACAAAACAAAATAACCTAGCAATTCTATCCACCTGTTACCCATGTGGCATGTTGGCCCAAAGAAACCTTACTAATGATGTTACCAATTACCTTCCGAGAAATCTTTTTACTATAAAAGAAGGGCTGAAAAGCAGTCAATATTCATTGAGCATCTACTCTCAAGCTAAGTGTTTTACATTTTGCATTTGATTTTCACGACTATAGTCAGGAAGGTTACTTTTGGTTTAAACGTAGGCTCTGGAGCTAGACCCCATGCCTTCTCCAGGAGCTCCCAATGACCATACGCAACTTACTTTTTGCTCCCTGTGCCTCCGTTTCTTCACTCGGAAAATGGAAATAGAAACAGTAGCAATCTCATTAGAGCAGTTCCAGAATTAAACAATACACATAAAATGCCTAGAGCTAAACCTGGCCCTCGCTGTCATTGTTATAAAAACGAATTATTAGTGTAGGTAGTATTGTTCCTATTTCACAGATGAGGAAACGGAAGCTTAGAGAATGCAACTTACTAATGATCATACCAATGAGTGCAAAGCTTTGGACTTAAAAGCACGAATTTGATTAAATGAAAGTTACTTAGAGAGTGGGAGTCTCATAAATCCAATTTATGAAGCCTAAGGAATGACACGCGGTAAAAATGATACTAGACACAGGACGGGCTCTCAGGCTCGCGGACCGGGTCTGAGCGCAAAGTGGCCGTGGCCCTGTGTCCTGGTCCCGGGGTGCCCGGCAGGGGCCGGCGACTCTTGACTTCCCGGCATTCGCGTTTATAAACACCGGGAAGTGGACTGCACTGCCGCCGCCGCGCCCCCGGTCCCCAGCGGCTCCGCGAGGCCACTTTCTATCCCGGCTCCAGTCGGAGAAGACCAGTCCCAACAGCGGGCGCCGACGGCCGGCTCGACGCTGCTCCAAAGACAGCAACCAGCGAGGGAGCGAGAGACAAAGGCGCAGGACCAGTCCAGGGGCGCGCTGAGTCCCAAACGCCGAGCCCCGGGTGGCCTCGCTGGCTCCCACCTGCGCTCGCCCAGCCTGGCGGGAGACCGCAGGTGTCAGGAGCCGCTCAGGCCCGGTCCTCCGCAGCTCCAGCAGCCCCGACGTGACAGCGCCCAGGCCCGCGACCCTAGCGCTCGGAACACGGCTGGGCCGACTCGGCGCCCGGACGCTGCCAGCGCCTGGGACCCGAGAGGGGTGGCGGTGTGCGGACTTCCTCCCGGACTAGCCTGGAATCCCGCCCCAGCCCCCACCGGCCCGCGGCCGCCCCCGCCCCCGCCCCCACGCCTGGCACAAAGGTCCCGGCGCGGCCCGGGCCGGCGGCTGTTAAGTGCTGTCGCGCACAGCAGACCCGAGGCCGCGGCCCGCACCCCCACACCCGAGGCCCGCCGGCGCCTACCTTCTCCGCGCGGCGTCCGGGCCCCGGCGCGGTGGGCTCCGGCCTGCTGTTCCGCGACTCCCGCTCGGCCTCTCCTGCGGGCTGGCGGGGCCTCCCGAGTCTCGGGCGCGGCGGGTGGCGGCGGCTCCTCCTCCTCAGGGGCGGGAGGAGGGGACTCGGCGGCCCAGAGCCGCCCCCCGGCAGGAAACCAGCCGCGGCCCCGCCTCCTCTGCGCGTGTGATCCCGCTCCCGAGGCCGCCGCCGCCCTCTCCCTCCGGAAACGCATTCCTCTCCCGCCGCGTCAGCCCGGCCCCGGGGCGAGGAGGAGGCGCAGGAAGAGGCAGGAAGCGCGACCGGGACAAAGGAACCGGCCCGCTCGGGAGCGCGCCTGAGGGAGGCCGTAGAGGGCAGGGCCGGGACTCCGCTGAGACAGTCGCCATGCCTCAGTTTCCTTCTCTGTGAAGGGCGGGAGGGGTCGGTTGCGCCCTAAAGCCCCGCGCGTTCCTGGTGTAGCCTGCTGGGCCCGTGTTCTTTAAGTTCCGCTTCCTCGGATCCGCGCGTCCGACCCTCCCTCCCGTTTGTCCACTGATGTCCCATTTAGAGACCGGGAGGTCCTGCATCCCGGAAGCCCCCTCAGTCCCGAGGCAAATCGGTACCATGAACCCCCCATACCCTGCAGGACTCCATGGGGCCAAAAACCACGTGGTCGTTCTGGAAGGGAACTGGCTAAGCCAGGACTGCTTTTCTGGAGTGATAATGTGCTTGCGTGTGTCTAAGAGAAAGGTGAAGACTTGGGAAACCCGTGGGTGCCACGAAGGGTGGTGGGACTGGGGAACGTTTTAGAAAACCTGGTGAATTGGGTCCTGCTTTTGATCGATTTATCTGGAGGTCCCTTTATGGGGAACAGGGATGAGAAGGAAAAGTTTCTTCCTAAGGAGTAGAGTTTCTGTTTCAAACCTCTTTAAAAAAGAAGAAAAAAAGGAGATGGGGGCTGGAAACAGAACGTTTGAAAGAGAAGGAAACATTCATTATGAGAATGGCTGGGCGCATGTCGATTCGATGATTGAAGTTCGTACCAGCCAACATCATACTGAAACCCAGTAATTTCAGTATACGCTGCTGGCAAGCTGCTATCCTGGTAGCAGAAAATGTTGTAGGTTCCACTTGGTGAGCTGCAGCACCCTGTTGGGAAAAGAGCTCAAAAATTACCAGATTTATGAAACTGAGAAGAATCTTGCAGGAGATGAGGGGCTGGAACGCCCATTTGGCTGCTGCCAATCTAAAATATAAGAGAAAATGAAGCGATCACATCTAAGAAAATTTGCACATTACTTACCAGCAAAATCAAAACTACTGGTTAGCCAATGTCTGCAGACCTCTAGGAAATAAGCACTATTTTTCCCGCTTAATGGATGTTCAAGCTTAAGAGGCTAAATGATGTTTCTATGTTAATATCTCAATGGTCAAACTGCCATTAGAACACAACATTCTTGAATTTTAAAGGTATGGATTTTACCATTGTTGAGAATTCATCAGAATTGGCCCAGTCTCAGCACAGAAAACTGTATAGTTCAAAAGCATAATTGGTCCATGCCTGATTTGCACTACAATTCTCAGCATTTTTTCCCCTGTACATGACTAGTGGAGGCACTGGCTAATCTTTGCTACAAGAACATTATGAGGTTTACATATGCATAAGTCTAAACTAAATTAGTTCCTCCAGGGCAATTTACTGACCTTTTTAACACCACTGTCGAGCACTGTTGTGAGGACACATAATAGGGGCTCAGATAATATCTGATAAATGAATAAATGGGTCCTGTTGCTCTCCCGGGACTTGACTAAACTGATGTGTGAGGTAGCAATTTGTGTACAGAAGTCATGAGTTTTGAGGAAAAAGAAATTAAAGAAACACGTTCTCTAAGAAAAGCAGTGATCGGTCAAGAGTACGAGTCTACTTGTGATTTCATACAAATAATGGGTGGACAGTGAGCTAACTATGAAATTTATGAATAAGCAAAGATGGGTCAGCATACGTGCTAAACAGGAAATCCTGGTAAGTAGGAATACTGCAAGCCACATTGCTAGATCTTATCATATTAGGTTGGTGCAAGGTCTACCAGATGTCTCTTGCCTTCCCATGTGTAAGATCAACCAGATAGCTCTCACCTTTCCATGTTTAAGGTCAATCAGAGGGCTCTTGCCTTCCCATGTCTAAGGTCAACCAGATGGCTGCATGCACCAACCTAATAAAACATCACTAGTGTCTTGAATTCAAGACAAATCCATACTTTACCTACATTGTCTCCCAATTATTATCAATTGTCTTCTGCCATCTTTTAAGTCATTATTATGTCAAATAATTAAAGTTGATGTTTCCTTTAGTTTTGTCACTGGTGACATTACTACTTGCTCTTCAAAATGTATCTTTATTCACCTAACATTTTCCAAAGTAAAGTTTCAAAGTTGCTCAGCAAGAAAGACATTATTGGATGCCTAGGTTTTTATTAGTTTGACTTATATTATTATTGATTAGTACCCCTTTTCCCTCTCAAAAGTATGTCCTAGTATAGATGATAACTTATATGATCATTCTATAAAGAACAGTGTCCAGATAATAAGGAATAAGAAGAATAATTTTAGAAATTCAAAAGGGATTCGTGATATATTGCAAATTAGGTTCCAGGTTTATAGGGGAAGACTAATTTCAACATTGGTGATAGTAAGGGGAAAATGTGAGTTGCAGCATGGGGGTGAGTATGAAGAATTAGGCAGTTGCTGTGTGATGAAAATGCCCTACTAGGAGATTTTGTTAAGAAAAAAGTCTTGACAGTCCCCTGGCTGATCAATGGGACTTGGATTTTAAATACCATTGTGTAATAAATGTATGCGACAACTTTGGAGCAAATTGATTGACAACGGCTAGGTAAGTCTTCAGCCACTTTTCTAAGGACTGTTTCTGTAGACTAAGCTAGATATATTTTTCTCATCTGTCACTTCCAGTTTCTTTGAATGTAACTCCTTTAAACATTAAACAAAGAAAAAGATGAAGGAATAGGGATGGAAGGAATAGAGGTCTCTGATAACATCCTGTAATACTAACATAGGAGTGCTTCTGAATCATGAATAACTCCATTCCTTTACCTGAGAAACTAAAATCACTGTTGTAAAATGTGAATCTGCTACTCAGGAGGCTCAGGCAGGAGGATTGCTGGAGACCAGGAGTTCGAGACCAGACTGAGCAACATAGTGAGACCACTGCCCCCACCAACCCCAGGGCCCAACTGAAAAATGAAGAATAAAATTACCCAGGTGTGGTGGTGCATGTGTGTAGTCCCGGCTGCTCAGGAGGCTGAGGTGGGAGGATCTCTTGAGCCCAGGAGCTATGATCATGCCACTGTAGTCCAGCCTGGACAACACAGTGAGACCCATCTCTAAAAATGTGAGTCTGTGTGTATTGGTGTAAAGCAGCCCTGGGAATTATTGACATTTTGAAAAACAAGAAGGGGTGAGACGGTCCTGCCAGTTCCTCCTTTTTCAGTCTCCATGTGTATAAATAACATGCAAATAGTCATATAATGCAAAGAAACTGGAAGTGTATTGAATTTGCAACTTTTTTTTTTTTTTTTGCTTGAGGGCTTCAATTTAGTGAGCACTCTTCTATACTCATAACGGAGTATTGCCAGAGGAACTGTAAAAAATTAAGTTTGCTATCAGGCAACCAGCAATTGACTAGGTATGGCATGTGTCAGTGTATCCACCAGGCTGTACTGAGGCTTCATTTCTTTGCTTATTTGAAAATAAGGTGGAAAATGGCACAACAGTCTGACCTGATTTGCAATGTGTCCCTTAGAGCTTAGGCTAGCCATTCAGCCTTTTCCTTTTCTAGGTAACTAACAGTGGCTGGACTATGGCTTTGAATATGGGTCACAGATGAGTAAGGCTTCCTCAACTAGTTCTGCTTCCTGTTTTCCATATATAGGGGCCCCATTTTTCCTTTTCGAGTCCACACAGCATTGCCTCCAATGGGTGTGAGCATTCCTTACCAGCATTCAGATGCTGAACATTTTTAACAGCCTACGGGAAACAGTCTTTTAGGCAGCTCTTTTCAAACACTGAGTTTCTTCAGCTGTGGAAGGGAATGTCCTTCCCAAATAAGAATTAAAAAAATGCCCAGTATAAGCAATTGACTAGCACTGGAGTTATTTTTAGGAACCAGGGTCACTCATTACAGGAAATGATTGTGTTGCCAATGTGTTACAGCTAGTGACTATAAAAAATATTATTTCTTTTCTCATTTAACTGCATCTTGAGGAAAGTTAGCAGTTGCAATTTTAAGTTAGGAACAGCTCAATTTCAGGCCAGGTACATTAGGGAGTAGGAAGGATACTTTTCACTTAAAAAAAGGCATTTGGGGTAAGTAAGAACATCGTCCCTGCGCCTCCCTCCCACCCTCTTCCCCTAGAACACACAAATTAATCCCCACAACATACTATCTTAGGCCGAGTTCTTGCCTCATGCCTATGAACGGGATACTATGAAACCCCTAAAATTCTAGACAGAATTTTACTTATATATCTGCATTGTTGTGGTTTGAATGAGATCTTAACAACAAAACATTAAGAATAACTATTTTAAGCACTTACACCATTAGTTCTTTTAGAGACTACATGCCTAAACAAATGTCTCTGTGGTTGCCCTGGAACTGTGAGTTGTATATTGATTAGTCTTATCTAAAACAATATTTAAACCATCAGATAGTACTTCCAAATATTTTCTTATAACATGATTGTAACTGCATGTTATTTAACCTTTAAGAGGTAGAACAGAAAAAGCAGAATCTTTTGTGATCGAACCGCACAACTAAAGAGTATGCTGTTTATGTCTACTTTTCAAGGTAAGATAAACTTCAAAGAGAAACGAACTTTTAATTTCAAATTCCAATTTACGTATTAGGACTTAAATGACTTCAAATCATGTCTAAAAATCACCGTAACTAAAACCATTGTAAATTTTTACTTAAATTGAGAATAAAAATAAATAAATGTTAAGCATATTTCCTAGTAATATTTGTCATGCAGCATTTGGAAGAGCAAGTCCTGTGACGCTTCTACTTTAAGATTTCTGCATTGTTGTTGGCTGATGTCATAGGCTGTTCCCTTTATGACCACAAGAATTCCCTATTTAGAACTGCTTATGGCTGCCGTTGGGTAAACTTTCAAGTTGAAAGAATTTTGCGTTTTGT